TTCTCCCCTTATTAGAGAGATTGCCAGGGATGGCAGACCATTTTTATCAAGGCTTCCTCCTCCAGGACCCTAACCTGGTTACCACGTATGCAGTGGCAAAGTTTTGTGCGGCTGCAATGTCCATAAGAAAAAAAATTGGCTACAGAAGTATAATTGTCATCTGGTACCAATTATCTGGACTCTAACAATCTTTGGACCATTATGTTATTATCCACTTTTAATGTCAATACTTTTTAATTATATTTTAATGTTAGCATTTTTTAATATAGTGTAAAACCTAATGTGTATTGCTGGTCTTTGACTGTAATAAAGATTTTACTTACTTACTCTGTCCTTGCGCAGGGCAGTGAAGCGACTGGACGAAGCCCGGTGGTTTAAGGAGGTCCCCGAAGCCACACGGACATCCCAGAAACAAGAGCTTCACAAATCTTTAAGGGTGAGTAAGGGGCCCTCCCCACCAGGCTGCAGGTCAAGAGAGTTGCAACTTAAAAACCTCCTCAAAAAGGTGGAAGCTTTGCGCGACTTAGATCTGCTTTACACGGTAAATGTTGCAGTGGCTTTTCTCTGGCCGAGGGGCGGGGAGGGGAAATCTATGAGTCTTGTTGAGCAAAACTCATGTCGGGATTGTCTTGCTTAGCCACAGAAATGCTGGGTTCGATTGTTGGATCGTAAGTCAACAAAAATAAAAACTAAAAATTGCCTTCCAAGTCCTTCAATAAATGATTTTGAGGGTGTAACAGGAAGCATTCAGGAAGTTTTCTTCTTCCTACTTCTCCTCTCCCTCCCCCTTTCTCCCTCTTCTCTTTACTGCTCCCCCTTTCCCCTTTTTTTCTACTCTCCCTTTCTCTCTCTTTCCCTTTCTCCTCTCTCCCTTTCCCTTTTTCTCTCTTTTCCTCTCCCTCCCCCTTTCTCTCTCTTCTCCTTACTGCTCCCCCTTTCCTTTTTTCTACTCTCCCTTTCTCCTCTCCCCCTTTCCCTTTTTCTCTTTTCCTCTCCCTCTCCCTTTCTTTTCTCCTTACTCTCCTTTCCCTTTCTCTCTTCTCCTCCCCCTCTACCTTTCTCTTTCTCTCTTCTCCTTACTTTCCTTTCCCTTTCTCTTCTCCTTTCTCTCCCTTTCCCTTTCTCTCCTCCTCTCCCCCTTTCCCTCTCTCTTCCTCTCCCTCTCCCTTTCTCTCTCTTCTCCTTACTGCTCCCCCTTTCCTTTTTTCTACTCTCCCTTTCTCTCTCTCCCTTTCTCCTCTCCCCCTTTCCCTTTTTCTCTTTTCCTCTCCCTCTCCCTTTCTCTCTTCTCCTCCCCCTCTACCTTTCCCTTTCTCTCTTCTCCTTACTCTCTTTTCCCTTTCTCTTCTCCTTTCTCTCCCTTTCTCTTCTCCTTTCTCTCCCTTTCCCTTTCTCTCCTCTTTCTCTCTCCTCTCCCTTTCCCTCTCCTCTCCCCCTTTCCCTCTCTCTTCCTCTCCCTCTCTCTCCCTCTCCCTCTCCCTTTCTCTCTCTTCTCCTTACTCTCTCCCTGTCTCTCTTTCTCTCTTCTCCTTGCTCTCCTCTCCCTTTCTCTTTTCCTCTCCACCTCCCTTTCTCTCTCTTCGCCTTACTCTCCTCCTCCCCCCCTTTCTCTCCCTCCCTCTCTTTTAAATCCTTATGAAAGATGATCATTTAGCATTTAGCATACGTCATATCACGCATGGACTGGCAATATATATTAATAACTGTTTGGAAAGAATTGGCAGCTTCATCCTCTTGGTCTTAATTTCTATTCTATTCCATTCATTTCCAGTCCCTGAATAACTTCTGCAGCCAAATTGGGGATGACCGTCCTATTTCCTTTTGTCACTTCAGTTCCAACTCCAAATTCTTGGCCACAGCTTGTTGGTAAGAAGGATTTTGTTGTCTTGGAGGGAAGGGGGGGGTTCACCTCAGGCAGGAGAGGGCAAAAGAATGACTGAAGGGGGGCACCCAGTTTAAAACAAAAAAACTCTGACATTTATAGAATCAGCCTAAATCTAATTTAAAATCATTTTTATTAGGTTCTGCACACCTTCATGGTGTGTGGGTGATATTGCTCTCTAGTTATAATTATTGCTTTATTAGTTGCCATGAATAACTGTGAAGAATAAAAATTAGAGGCCTCTCCTAAAAAAACATAGAGATGCGGTGAACCCTCACTGAACTGAACACCAACTCACTGAACCCAGTGTCCCGCTTAGCGACGGAATGTTTGGGCTCCATTGTAGTCGTAAGTTGAGGACTACAGGTGGCATGTAAGTCACTTAGGTACGCGGTGGCTCGGTGGCTAAGACGCTGAGCTTGTCGATCAGAAAGGTTGGCAGTTTAGCGGTTCGAATCCCCAGCGTCGCGTAACGGAGGGAGCTCCCGTGACTCGTCCCAGCTTCTGTCAACCTAGCAGTTCGAAAGCAGGTCAAAAATGCAAGTAGAAAAACAGGAACCACCTTTGGTGGGAAGGGAACAGTGTTCGGTGCGCCTTCGGGCGTTGAGTCATGCCGGCCACATGACCACGGAGATGTCTTCGGACAGCGCTGGCTCTTCGGCTTTGAAACGGAGATGAACACCGCCCCCTAGAGTCGGGAACGACTAGCACATACGTGTGAGGGGAACTTTTACCTTTTTTCCTAAAAAAAAAAAAAATCCATATGCAGAGCGGAGCTTGGAAGACTTTGAGCACAAATAACTTAGAGCAGCAAAGTGTCCTAATCTTTTCCTTGTGGTCTCCTTTCTTTCGGCCCACAGGAGCGGGCTCTGTAAGATATGGTCGGTGCCGGATTGCAATCTCGTCCTCACTTTGCGAGGTACTGCAACTCTCCCCTCCCTTTGAGCCACAGCCTGGTTCAGAACCGGGCAAGCACATATCCTGGTGTACCTGACAGCTTTCTCACCTCTCCTAAGGGCATAACACCAACGTCGGCGCCATCGTCTTCCACCCCAAAGCCACCATCTCATTGGACAAGAAGGACGTCAATCTGGCGTCTTGCGGCGCCGATGGCTCCGTCAAGCTCTGGAGTCTGGAAAGGTTCGTGCAGGCTTTTCTCATTTGCTATTTCCAATAAAGCCTCAGGGCGGATGGGATAGGTGGCTCAGGGGCTAAGACGCTGAGCTTGTCGATCAGGAAGGTCTGCAGTTTGGCGGTTCGAATCCCGAGCGCCACGTAACGGAGGGAGCTCCCGTGACTTGTCCCATCTTCTGCCAACCTAGCAGTTCGAAAGCAGG